GAGCAGCATGACCCCCATGATCACTCCTGTTATGAAGGCACTAAATGCTAACAATTTGGATATTGAGGTGATCAGAACACATAGCCAGGCCCCATTCTCTACCTGACTCTCCAGGCAGGCTCATTGCCATTTGGAAGACATAGTAGATGTATTGAGATGGGGGGGGGGGGGGGACTTGAAAGAAATTTTGGGGTAGGTGGTTTGGGGGTGGGGGGGGGGGGCTACATTGAAGAATATCTGAGGTTAGGGTATGTGGAGAGACAATAAATGGGTCTGCTTCTCAATATTGCTCACAGAATCAGGGCAGAAGCAGTGTAGAAACACTCCAGCCCTGACCTCTAGTAATCCAGCAGGGATTGCCCAAACATCAGACACAGAGGTCACAGACCCTCCTTTCTCTGACTTGGGATCCTCCTGTTTATCACTCCAAAGTTCCCATTTGCCTTTTTGGCAAGAGTACCAGCCCAGGAGCTGGTATACAACTGATTCTCCCCCAGAACTAGCAACCCCCAAGGACAATGTCTCCCCTTATAGCATCGTGGTATTTTTTACCCCTACATGGGTTTCGTTTCACACGGTTGCATACGAGGCAGTGTAGAGCACTCTACACAAGCGGCCTTCCTCTGCATTGCTGAGCACTGCTCCCATCACTGTCACCTGTAAACCTTTGCAGAGATGACTTTGTGTGCTCCAGGTGGGGAGAATAATTGAGTTTCATTCTGAGATTTCAAAAATCTCCTCTGGGATGTTGGGAGAGAGCTGGGGAGGGCCCATGGAGGTGCTGATTTCTCAACCATATATTGTGCCAAAGCAAGTGGTTATAAGCTTTCCCTGTTTCCTTGCCAGATGAGATCATTGGAGGACGGGAAGCTAAGAAGTACTCCCGTCCTTACATGGCTTACACAATCATCAAAACATCTGAGAATGAAGAACTGGCATGTGGAGGGTTCCTGATCCAGGAAGATGTGGTGGTGACAGCGGCTCACTGTAACACCGAGCCCAGGTGAGGACTCTAGTCTGAGTTTTACGGGTCAAGAGGAACGTGCCACAGCTCTGATACGTAGCAGAGCCATCAAGCAGCTGGATGTTCCTGCACTGCCAATTTCCCTAGTCACAGGGTAAGCCCGTCGGCCTAGAGCTGCTGAGTGGCCCTGCCTCCCCCTCCATCCTCAGTTCAGGAGACAGGAGGGAAATGGCAGAGGGAATCAGAAGACTGTACTGATCTCTGTTTTTTCCTCAGCCAGCGGCTCCCACACATCTCATGACAACAAGTAGCAGCTCCAGCCCTCATGTCCCCACCTTGTGTCTACAGCAGAGGAGAGGAGCACGTCCAATGCCCAGAGCCAGCCAGTGCCCATCCCTGTCTCTGAATGAAAACTAGCATCCCTTCAAGGGGAAAGGCTCCAGGCCTCATTGCCAGCACTCTAAGCTGGCCAGTCCACACATCCTGGAGCCAGATCAGAGGCCCTGTATCCCCTAATTCAAGCAGACAGGTCCCTAGCACCAATAAGAGAAAAGCCTTCAGCCCTACCCCCTAAACCAGCCTCAGGGAGCTGAGTGCAAATCAGAGCTGCTGCCCCTAGAAGGGAAGGGCTCTGTTATTTTTTCCCCAGCAGCTCCTGGAAGTCCTCTGGATATGGTGCTTCTTGTGCTGCAACATTACTTACTGCCAGGCATTATTAAGGGATCACAGGACGTGGCAGTCCTGGTCCACCAGTCACTGTAGCACAGCAAATCACACCCAGATCCTAATCCACTCATTAGGCTTCTAAGTGCCTGTAGGCACCTAAATGTGATCCTGTTCTAACCTGATCACGTTCCTGAAAAACCAATAATGTGGCTGCTTCTGTAATGTACCACCATCTTGGCCTCTAGACTAAATCTCAGAAAGCACAGAGAAAGATAAATACTCCTCCCTCCCCACACCTCCTTAATGGTTTTTCAGGATGTTGAGCAGAGTGGAATAAGGTCAGGTTTAGGTGCCTAAGTTCACTGTAGTGTCTAATAAATGTAATGAATCTGGACCTCAGTGCTTTGAAGTGGGCTCAAATTAGAAGACCCACAGAGCACTGCTTTGGGGATCTTCTTTCTAGGTTTGAACAGCTACAGTAGTGTGAGATTTCCCCTCAGTAATCTGAGCAAAATGTCTGTGATTCTGGGAGCGCACAACATTCGGAAGCCAGAACCAAACTCACAGAGGATCGAAGTGAGGCACTGGATTCCCCACCCTCAGTTCAACAGGACGGCCTTTTACTATGACATCATGCTTCTGCAGGTATCTCTCTGATCATATCACCTTGCTCCAGTGACCTCACACTGTCGCAAGTGCTGCACTGGGGCCCTGGGTAAAGACAAAATTGGAGGCCCCCCACAGAGAAGGGTCCTGATCTGCAGCACTGCACCCATACCCAGCCCCGAGCTGCACCTCACGCTGCTCAGCCCTTCCTTCCCATGGGCTCAGAGGATGCAGGTGGGCTCAGGTGGCTGTGAGGGTACAGCTCTCCCTGCCCGAGGCTTGCTGCTTTCTCCTGGCCGAGGTTTCCCCAGGAGAAAGCAGCAGCAGCGGGGAGTTGGAGCCAGCCCGGGGCCATAGTGGGTAGCAGTGCCCACAACCTCTCCTTCTCTGATCTGTGGGATGATTCTTCGATCCTTTGGTTCTCTCCGTGGCAGCTGAAACACCACGCCAGGCTGAATCACCAAGTTCAAACCATCCCCCTGCCTGCTTGGAGGAAGTGTGTGAAACCAGGAACCATGTGCTCCGTAGCTGGCTGGGGCGGAACGTGTCTGTCGAATGAAACCGGCTCTGATGTACTGCTGGAGGTGGACTTGAAGGTCCAGGATGATGACATCTGCAAAAAGACTTTCTTCAGATATTCTCCTCAGGTTCAGATGTGCGTGGGAGATTCCTCTGGAGAGAAATCAACATTCAAAGTAAGCAGTATCCTTGCCCCATGGCGTAGGGTGATGCTGACACCAGCTGTCACCGTAGAGGGGGAGATGCTAGGGCTGTCTCAGCCCAAAACTAGGGGGGTGCGGGAGGGGATAACACGCAGATGTCTCAGGATGAGATTACAAATTACAAGTGGATCCTTTAAAGACCACTTAAAATGTACATATACAATGTGTTCAGAGCACTTAAAATGTGAATGACCACCTAGTAAAGCTCATTAACCCTTTAGGCATCTTAAAGTTAAACCTTTTTTTAATTTGGGGGGCCAGAATTATCTTTGAGCTGTACTACCTAGCTTGAGTTAAATTAACTTCTGGGAGTTCATCTGAGATCAAACCACCAGTTTGCAGTTATTCAGTATCCCAGGAGGCACTGCTCTAAGGTGCTGGATGCAGTCACTTAGGGGAAGCAGAAGCCCAGGAGCAAGCAGGAAAGGGGAACTGTCCCACCACCCCGCTGTTCCTGCCATCACTGCTCTCAGTCTGATTGAGCAGCAGGGTAGTAATTTTGTCAGGAGCAAAGGAGCGGGGGACAATTGAGGGGCTCATGGGATTCAGTGAGGCAATGTGGGGGATGGAAGGAATAATTAAAGTGGCATAAGAAGGTCCTTACCCCACTAGCCTATACCATAGCTAGACACCAAGTGAGCCAGGAAGGCATGGAACAGACTTGCAGCCCCTAAACACATCCCTGTTCACCAGTCCTCTAGCAGCAGCTCTGAGCAGCACCTCTCAGAGAGGGAATTAACCCTGAATGTGTGACTGGTCGCTAGCACCAGTTAACCTTAACGCAAGCTAACATGTCATCTGCAATGTGTTATTTCACCCTCAGCTCAGAGCGCATCTGCTGCTCAGGAAGGGAAGGTGAGTTCCAATTCTGGCACAGAAAGAAGCAAATTGCTCCAGTGTAATTCATCTCACTTCTGGTTTTATTCCACAGGGTGATTCTGGGGGTCCTCTGGTGTGCAACGGGACAGCCTATGGCATTGTCTCCTATGGACCACATGGAAAAACCTTCCCTAAAGTATTTGCAAAAGTGTGCAGTTTCATCCCCTGGATCAACGAAGAGCTTAAAAAGCTACATCCTTAGGGACTACTTGGATCCTCTTTGTCTGCCCTGCACTTCTGCAGTTGAACTAAATCAGGCGGATGTGCAAAACTTAACAGCATCCCAGAGAGCTAAAAAATAAACAAAAAAATAAAATTAGTAGTTAATTTAGAAAGAAAATGAAAATCAACTTGGAAATGCAGCATAAGTTTCCATGAAAGTCAATTCATTTGTCAAACTAAAATGGTATTAAATATTGATATGAAAGAAGGATCATTCAGTCTTCGTTCAAAAATTGAAGTTAAGCAAAATGAAGGAAATGTAAAGACATTTTCTACAAAGCTAATTGTCTGTGTCAACAATACATTTAAATTAGATACCAAATAATAGTTCACTCAGACCTGAGCAAAGTTCAAATGCTGGAGAAATTAAAGCAAATATAAATTTGCAATAAAATGAAATGACATTTCAAATCAAAGTAAATAAAAATGGGATCTACTAGAAGCTGAGACTTTCAGACATTGAAATCTAAATGAATGATCTTGAAAGACCATGAATGAGCTCCGTACCATGCTGAGGTGTTAAAAATAAAGATCTCCTGGGGCGGATGAAAAACCAGAGGGAAGGATGCCAGGATAAGACATGTGCTTGCTTGTGTGCCAAGAAATTAGCCACTAATGTGGTAGAGCCAGATTCCCTCAATTCAAGTCCTTGCTTGCTCTTTTCCCTCTGCAACCTTTCCTTTCCCCCTTCTCCTAATTCACTACGGGGCAGATTCACTCGCTGCTGCTGTCACTGCAATAAATAAAAACAGCATTAAAAAAGTTCATGTGTCAAATTCCTGGGAATGCAATGAATTTCATGAGCCTTGAAGCAGTCTCTGAGTCTCACAGACCCAACGAAGAGTGTTTGATAAAAGGGGGAGATGAAGCAGGGAATTAACCTCTTCAGCATGGAAGTGATGTGACCAGGATGAGGAGGTACGAGATGTACAAAGATATACAAGAGTGGCAGAGGTCACCCTAGCTGGCACTGGTATTGGATGGGGAAAAGAGAGTAGATATAGGGTGAACATTTGTAAGGATGGAGACATGGGCCCCACACATGAGCTAATCAGCTACCCCCAAACCAGGCAACCTTGAGGCAGCCCAAGGCTCTGGCCTCTGGTCATATGCTCCATGCAGCATAGCTGGTGGTGGAATAGCCTTGCTCGGTGCACCAGATTACCTACATGGAAGACAAAAGATGAAAGCAGAAAAAAAGAAAAAAGGCACAGATAGGAAGATGGATGGGGGGGTGGGGATAAAGAATGCACATCCCAGGCCCATGGGATTTTGAAAAGGCAGATACAGATAGTGTGGCGCATCATCACATACAGCAGAACACATATTTTTCTCCAGTTAAAAAAGAAACTAGAAACTTTACAAATAGGCCAGGGGCCTAGGACTGTATTGTTCAGTTTAGGATTGAAGCAAGAACCCCAGACTCAATTTCCTGCTGCAGTAAAGAGTTGGGAGTTGAACGGGGGTCTCCTCCATTCTAGGTTAGGCCTGTCACCATTTAGCTCTTGGTTGTTCTAGCTCGGATGATGCTCTCTGGCCAGACATTTTACCAGGGAACTGAGAAAGTATTTCATTGCCACCAATTCGTTTTAAATCTCTCTCTCTCTCTCTCTCTCTCTCACACACACACACACACACACACACACACACACACACACAAAGAAAGCCTCCAGTTCCAACATAATGGCAACTGTGTCTCTCTGCCCCTCTTTTCACTCCCACAAACATGTATGGTTTTAGGGATACCCAAATACATGTGCTTAGTAGACGGGCAACTGGGAGAAATTATCTGCCCTGCCCCTATGTAGGAGAAAGCCATGGTGACCAAATGCTTTAAACTGGGATTCTGTATACCCCTCCCTCCTCACGGTGTTGTAAGGAGGAAGGCCTGTGCTACTCTGAGACCCGGATGGTGTCTGCATCATTAAGCAGACTTAAGGCAAAACTGTCACATGGTGATGGCATTGTTACTACTTCACACGACAGAAGTTCAGGTAAAAAAATAGCCCCTCCAGCTCCAGGCTTTCCAACCTCTCCTGACTTAAATGACTCCTGTGGGGCGTGATCAGAGTACAAACCCAGTTTGCCAGTCCCCTCCATGAGTAAGCAAAGTCTCATCTGACCCTTTTAGTAGAAACCCACTTCCAGAGCTGTCCTCTGCACCACTTCAGGCTAGTGCTGACGTTTGCCTGTTATAACCTCTGATTGTTTCCAAGTCATTAGCATCATTCAGCTGGTCCTGGACTAGCATAGGAAGAACCTGTGGGCCTCACTTACTGCCTGGAGTGAGTATGGGGGTTAAGCCAACCTAACAGGATTATGCTCAGCCATTGGCTGAGCCCAGGGCAAGAAACTGGCTGGGCCACAATGTACCTCTGCACCCAGGGGTGCCAATCTGTGGCTCAGTAACAGAAGTTGGAGGAGCCTCCCAAGTTCTAATGGACAGGACACATGTCCCCTCCTCAACCTGGGAAGAGAACCCAGCTGTCCTGATATCCCCCACTTCCTATGCTAACCCACCAGGCTCTACCCTTCTCCTTCCCAGACCCACAGCTTTTCCTACCACGTCTGCAGAATATACATGTGAGCTCCTGCCACCACACTGGGGCATGTGGGGGGAACTCGTGCAAGGGGACTCCTGGCACACTTCACCCTACTCGACCTCTTGGCCTTGGGAGTGATTGTCTTCCTCTGCCCAAGCTAATAAGGGGATACATGTTGTGGCTGGTGGCCTTCATTATTCATTGCCACCTCTCATAACTTTCCATGCCAGTTAGAGGCCTACTTGTATGATACCTAGGGTTATGGCCCTTTCCCCACAATGGAGCTTAAATGAATCCTTGAGCTATTTCTCCATTTTATCCAATGAATGATTTAAAAGTCAGTCCTCTCATTTGCTTTACAGAGGGAGAGATTTATGAGTACACATATAGCTTATATGCTGTTTGATATTGCTGTAGTTCATTTTGGATGTTATACGTATGGTTTTTTATGTCCACACACTGTGAGGCTTTGTTTCTGTGGAGCTATGTTGTGAGCCTGGCTTTCTGTATTTCTGTACTTTGTGAAGTTTTGCATGCACTGATTTGCATGGTGTGTGGTCGGTTTCTTAACAACTTGTATTCACATGGGGCTGTGTATTCCATGTATGGTTTTCTGTGGGTTGGGTGAAGTTCTCTCTGGAGGGATCCCTGTGTGGATCCTCCTGGACAGTGTGGAGAATTAAGCCCAATAAGAAGTGGGGAAAATGAGGCATATAATAGACAAATGATACAAATGCATGAAGACGATCAGCAGTGAAGTGACTTACACCTTCACAGCTCTTGCACACTGTTCCACTGTCTCAGAACAAGTGAACGTGAACCCAGGACTCCGGGCTTCTGATCCCAACTCTACTCCCAAGACTTCGCGGCCTAGCAAGGGCTAGGGATAGAATCCAAATCTCCTGGATTTCATAGGAACACGGGACTTTCAGGGAACCCCTGGGTTACTGATATCAATATCCAGCTATCACAGACAGTCATGGCATTATCACCCCCTTCCTTAACCTATTAAGAAACAAATGGTCCTGCTCAGAGATTGGGCTTTCCCCTTGCCTGAATCCTTGCATTGTGTTTCCTGGTAGAGCAATGGACTCGGTAACCTGCAAAGCTGAGAGACCCTGGGTGTCCACCCCTCTACGACTCATTATATAGATCCCAACCAGCTCTGGTACTAGGAAAGGCTGTCACACGGCAGAATTTCCTTGCACATTCTGTGAGGAAAGAGTTTTGTCACAATTAAAGCCGTACATTTCAGAGGTTTTTACTCATTTTTCTTCTTTTTCCCCCCTGTATTTTAATGACTAAAAAGAAAATGACTTCATAGAAGAGAGGGAGAAGTCTTAATATGAGACCACAAGCTGCACTGAACTGTTAAATGCAACCATGGTGAACAAAGCTCTTTCCAACGTCTGATCTTTTGTCGGGTCTGAGATAACCCGACAAGGAGTAATGGGCACAAGTTGATGGAGAGGAGGTACAGATTGGACATCCGAAAAAACTGCTTCACAGTTAGGGCGGCTAGGAGCTGGAACCAACTTCCAAGGGAGGTGGTGCTGGCCCCTACCCTGGGGGTCTTTAAGAAGAGGCTGGATGCCTACCTGGCTGGACTCATTTGAGTCCCGTTTTTGTTTTTTGGGGGTTTTTTTTGTTGTTCTCCCGCCCTGGCAGGGGGTCGGGCTAGAAGATCTATTAGGTCCCTTCCGACCCTAAAACTATGAAACTATGAAACCCTTTTTCAAACAAATTACAGCCAGGCTCCACTACTCTGTGGGTCTCCTGATATCATTTTGCGAGAGAACAAGAGAAAGCTCTTTTAATCCTTTACTTCTTGGGCAGTGATTCTCTACCAGGGTACTTTGAGAGCCTTTCAAGGTGACTTGAGAGCCTTTCAAGGGTGAAATGCTATGCAATATTAGCACTGGGCTAAAGGTCACTGCAGGACATCGGCTCCCCCCTCAGGGGATGTGGACATGACCCAGAGGTTTCCTGTGGGTTATAAAAACCCTGGGCTGAGGCAAAAGTGGTGTCAGTGTCCTGGACTCTAATGATGCTGATGTTGCTCCTGTTCCTGCTCCCTGCAGCTCTTCTGCCTCATGGGGCTGGGGCTGGTGAGTACAGGGTGGGACTGGATTATTAGGCAGAAACTCCTGGGGCTTTCAGAGTGTTTTCAAATCAAGGATCCTCTTCAGAGTCAGATGCTTCTTTACAGCAGCTGCCTTGGGATCTAGCTAGAAATGAACTGAGGGCCAGAAGAGAAAGGAGTTTGTATGGGACTGGAATCTGTAGGTAAGAGAAAGGAGTGGTACATGGGGCCAGTATCATAGCATTTCTGATTTCTGTCCAAGGGATCCAAAGAGCAATGAGATACTTGGGCAGAAATCTGGCCAGAGGGGTGAGCTAGCAGTTCATTAATCCATTCGTCTTCAAAGCCCCAGGAAGTAGTCATGGATCGTCCTAGCATCCTGTGGGTTAGGCTTTGCCTTTTGGGAGAGCGGGGAGGGAGAGAGTTCTACAAAAATCAGACATTAAAGGTCCCTTTTAACTGAGATCTCTGGTTCAGCTGGCTCTTGTCATCACTTGCTCTACTGTCTTGAAGATGGGCTTAAAGAGTATTGTTGCCCTTTGGGGTCAGGTCAATGCTCAGGATCTCAATATTGTGCTGTTAGACAGGAGGGAGCAGTGTACAATTGCACATATACAAACACACAAATCAGTTAGGATCACTACCAACTCAGGCACATACACATCCAGACACATACACATCCAAACCAGCCTAGGCACATGCATACCTATCACCAATTCAAGCACATACACTATACACCCAAAAAGTTAGACAAAAATCAATTGTCCATACCTGTCCTGGCAAGGTCAGTCCTGTCCCAGAGGGCTCCAGGTGTTCTTACTGAGCATGTGCAGCCTGGCACAATGGTGGGTTGTCTCATCTTTTGTTTCTTGAATGCGGAGGGTGGTTCCAAGGGCTGGGTTGTTGGTCCTGGTATTGGTGTTGATGGTTTGGTCATTCAGAGGGAGCTATTTTTAGACCTACTGCCATTGTCTCTCAAGCGCCCTCCTTCATCCCCATTCATTCAGGAACCAGGTTACACAGGAGGGGTAGGTGTGAGTCATAGATTGCACAACAGGCCATGGGGAACAAGATGGAGTCTTGACAAACAAAATGGAAACTTGACATGACCTATGCTGACTTACATATGTAGGTCTTAAATTATATAGTACCAGTAAAACAGTGATATGAAACAGTAAAAATCAATACAAATATAATAATTATACAATATAAAAAGGAGAAAAAAACCAAAACAAATACAACTTGCTACCAAAATAAAATGCTGAAGTTTATCCTATGTCTTAGCTCACTTATACTTATCTATAGGGAATAGAGAGGGAGAGAACAAGTCAGAAATGGTTGGGGAAGGGGAGGGAATGCATTTTAAAATAAGAAAAGAAAAGAAAAACTGGGGTTTTGATACAGTATATGTCCCAAAGGAGCCATTGTAATCTGATCTGGATAACCCGGGACACTGCCCTTCCCTGCAGTAACTCCTGCTTGGTGTAGATCATGTCTTGTAGCAAAACAGCTTATCTTGATCTAAAAATGTTCGTGGAGATCCCACTCTCTATCCCTTGTTGAAGTGCTCCATACTTAACCCCTGTCCCCACTAAAATTGGTTCCTTTTGTCTAGCCTGAATATGTCCAGTGTCCACATTGAGCCACTGGCTCACCTTCTGAGCTTGTCTGTCGAAGCAAGCTTACCAGAGTTTTGTTCGCCATTTGGGTGTGAAAAGATTGTTATCAGGGTACTCTTTAGCCTTCCCTTGGGGGCGCTTTGTTGATGGATTTCCTGGTGCTAAACGCCAGAGGTTTTTCATCCTCCTCAGGCATCTATGTGAACTGAACTGTCTTCAACATTTCAGCTTAATTCCTGATCTGTGGAAACCAGGAGTGTGTTGGCATTGCTCCTGGCCCAAGCCCAGCATGCCACTCAGCAGCATAACCCCCATGCTTATTCCTGTTATGTCGGCACTCAGTATTGGCAATTAGGATACTGAGGTGATCTGAACACATAGCCAGGACCCACTCCATAGCTGCCTCTCCAGGAAGGCTTATTGGCATGTGAAAGGTATGGTAGATGTACCGAGAGGGGCTATATTGCTGAATATCCAAGGTTGGGGTGTGTGGAGAGAAAATAAATGGGTGGGGTCTGCTTCTCAGTGCAGCTCATAGAGTAAGCACAGAAACTAAACCCCAGGCATGGCCCCCAGGTATCCAGCAGGGATTGGCGAAGTGTCAGATACAGAGGTCACAGATCCTCCTTTCTCTGACTTAGGAGCCTCCTGTTTATCACTCCAAAGATCCCATTTGCCTTTTTGGCAAGACTACCAGCCCAGGAGCTGATATACAGCTGATTCTCCCCCAGAAATAGCAACCCCCAAGGACAAAGTCTCCTCTTATAGCATCGTGGTATTTTTTACCCTCACATGGGTTTCGTTTCACACGGTTGCATACGAGGCAGTGTAGAGCACTCTACACAAGCAGCCTTCCTCTGCATTGCTGAGCACTGCTCCCATCACCGTGTCACCTGTAAACCTTTGCAGAGATGACTTTGTGTGCTCCAGGTGGGGAGAATAATTGAGTTTCATTCTGAGATTTCAAAAATCTCCTCTGGGATGTTGGGAGAGAGCTGGGGAGGGCCCATGGAGGTGCTGATTTCTCAACCATATATTGTGCCAAAGCAAGTGGTTATAAGCTTTCCCTGTTTCCTTGCCAGATGAGATCATTGGAGGACGGGAAGCTAAGAAGTACTCCCGTCCTTACATGGCTTACACAATCATCAAAACATCTGAGAATGAAGAACTGGCATGTGGAGGGTTCCTGATCCAGGAAGATGTGGTGGTGACAGCGGCTCACTGTAACACCGAGCCCAGGTGAGGACTCTAGTCTGAGTTTTACGGGTCAAGAGGAACGTGCCACAGCTCTGATACGTAGCAGAGCCATCAAGCAGCTGGATGTTCCTGCACTGCCAATTTCCCTAGTCACAGGGTAAGCCCGTCGGCCTAGAGCTGCTGAGTGGCCCTGCCTCCCCCTCCATCCTCAGTTCAGGAGACAGGAGGGAAATGGCAGAGGGAATCAGAAGACTGTACTGATCTCTGTTTTTTCCTCAGCCAGCGGCTCCCACACATCTCATGACAACAAGTAGCAGCTCCAGCCCTCATGTCCCCACCTTGTGTCTACAGCAGAGGAGAGGAGCACGTCCAATGCCCAGAGCCAGCCAGTGCCCATCCCTGTCTCTGAATGAAAACTAGCATCCCTTCAAGGGGAAAGGCTCCAGGCCTCATTGCCAGCACTCTAAGCTGGCCAGTCCACACATCCTGGAGCCAGATCAGAGGCCCTGTATCCCCTAATTCAAGCAGACAGGCCCCTTGCACCAATAAGAGAAAAGCCTTCAGCCCCTACCCCCTAACCCAGCCTCAGGGAGCTGAGTGCAAATCAGAGCTGCTGCCCCTAGAAGGGAAGGGCTCTGTTATTTTTTCCCCAGCAGCTCCTGGAAGTCCTCTGGATATGGTGCTTCTTGTGCTGCAACATTACTTACTGCCAGGCATTATTAAGGGATCACAGGACGTGGCAGTCCTGGTCCACCAGTCACACCCAGATCCTAATCCACTCATTATGATCCTAATGTGCCTGTAGGCACCTAAATGTGATCCTGTTCTAACCTGATCAGGTTCCTGAAAAACCAATCAGGTAGCTGCTTCTGTAATTTATCACCATCTTGGCCTCTAGACTAAATCTCAGAAAGCACAGCAGAAGAAAAAGACTCCTCCCACCCCTGCCCCCCACACACCCCATTAATGGCTCTTCTGGGAGTTGAACAGAGTGGAATAAGGTCAGGTTTAGGTGCCTAAGTTCACTGTAGTGTCTAATAAATATAATGAATCTGGACCTCAGTGATTTGAAGTGGGCACAGAGTGTAAGACCCACAGAGCACTGCTTTGGGGATCTTCTTTCTCGGTTTAAACAGCTACAGTAGTCTGAGATTTCTCCACAGGCATCTGAGCAAAATGTCTGTGATTCTGGGAGCACACAACATTCGAAAGCCAGAACCAAACTCTCAGCAGATCAAGGTGAGGCACTGGATCCCCCACCCGAAATACAACAGGACGACCTTACGCTATGACATCATGCTTCTGCAGGTATCTCCCTTTTCATATACCCTGCCCCAGTGACCCCATATTCCAGCAAGTGCTGCAAGGCATCAACAGCCTTTGTGCGCTCCCTCTCCTTCTCCGCTCTGTGGAATGATTCTTTGATCCTTTGGTTCTCTCCATGGCAGCTGAAACACAAAGCCAGGCTGAATCACCGAGTGCAAACCATCCCTCTGCCTGCTTGGAAGAAAAATGTGAAACCAGGAACCATGTGCTCCGTGGCTGGCTGGGGTAGAATACACCTGTGGAGTAACAAGACATCTGATGTATTGCTGGAGGTGGACCTGATGGTCCAGAAAGATCGCATCTGCAAAAAGACATTCTCTGGTTATTCTCGTAAGGTTCAGATGTGTGTAGGAGATTCCTCTGGAAAGAAATCAACATTCAAAGTAAGCAGCTTCCTTGGCTCATGGAGTAGAGTAATGCTAACACCATCTGAGCCCATGGTGAGGGAGATACTGGGGTTGTCTGGGCTGAAAACTGGGAGATAACATGAAGATGTCTCAGGTTCAGATTACAAATGACAAGTAGATCACTTAAAGGGTGCTTAAAATGTGCATTAGCAATGTGTTAAGAGCACTTAAAATGTGAATGATCACACATTAAGGCTCATTAACTGGTGCTGAGAGCCCTTTGGGCATCTTAAAGTTAAACCATTTGGGGCCAGTATTATCTTTGAGGTGTACTACTGTGTTTGAGTTCAGTTAAATTCTGGGTGTTCCCCTGTTTGCAGTCCTGCACTATCCCAGGAGGCACTGCTGGCAGGTGCTGGATCCAGGCTGCAGGGAGTCCAGGATCAGGCAGCAAAGGGAAACTCTCCCGCACCCTGCTGCTGCTGCTTCTCCTTCAGCCACTGCTCTCAGTCTGCTAGAGTGGCAGGATAGCCATTTTGAGGGGTGGGAGGAAAGGGTTCGAAATCTAGGGGCTGATGGGATTCAGTGGAGCAACTTAGTGGATGGAAGGAGTAATCTAAGTGGCATAAGAGGGCCCTTCCCCCCACACCTCTTTGGCCTATACCGTGGCTAGACAGCCAGTGAGCAGGGAAGGCATAGATTCATAGATTCATAGATACTAGGGTCGGAAGGGAACTCAACAGATCATTGTGTCCAAACCCCTGCATAGGCAGGAAAGAGAACTGGGGTCAGATGACCCCAGCCAGTTGCCTATCCAGCCTTCTCTTAAAGACCCCCAATGTAGGGTAGAGAACTACCTTTCTTGGAAGCCCATTCCAAACTTTGGCCACTCTTACCATGAAGAAGTTCTTCCTGATATCTAGCCTAAATCTGCTCTCTGTCAGTTTGTGACCATTGTTCCTTGTTACCCCAAGAGGTTCCCTAGTGCATCTCCGATCCATTGCTGCATTCCCCTAATGAATTTTTAGGAGGCCACAAGATCACTTCTCAGCCTTTTCTTGTGGAGGCTGAAGAGGTCCAGGTCCCTCAGCCTCTCCGCATAGGGCTTGTCCTGCAAGCCCCTAACCATACGAGTGGCCCTTCTCTGGACCCTCTCAAGTCTATCAACATCCTTCTTGAAGTACAGAGCCCAAAAGTGGACCCAGTACTCCAACTGCGGTCTGACCAATGCTGTATAGAGGGGAAGTAACAACCTCTTTGGTTCTATTTGTCATGCATCTGCTGATGCATGATAAAGTGCGGTTAGCTTTGCTGATGATTTTGTCACACTGACAACTCATGTTCATTTTGAAGTGCAGTATGACTCTGAGATCCCTTTCTGCTTCTGTGCTGCTGAGAGGGGCACTTCCCAGCCAGTAGATGTGCTGGATATTTTTGAGCCCTAGGTGCAGCACTCTGCACTTGTCCTTGTTGTACTGCATCCTATTGTGTATTGCCTGCTTTTCTAACCTGCCCAGGTCTGCCTGCAATCGTTCCGTACCCTTTGGAGAGTGCACTTCACCCCATAATTTAGTATCGTCTGCAAACTTGGACAGAGTACACTTCACACCCACATCTAAGTCACCGATGAAGACATTGAAGAGTACAGGTCCAAGGACTGAAACCTGCGGGACCCCACAACCCACATCCTTCCAGGTCGATACTGACCTGTCTACTACCACTCTCTGGGTATGACTGCTAAGCCAATTTGCCACCCACCAGACCGTGTAAACATCTGTGTCACAGCCTCTTAATTCATTTATGAGAACGGGATGAAATACCGTATTGAAGGCCTTGCTAAAATCCAAGAAAATGACATCCACCTCTACTCCTGCATCTAAGCATTTTATGACCCTGTCATAAAATGAAACCTGATTGGTCAGGCATGGTAGAAATCCATGCTGGTTGCCCTGCTGCATTATTTTTCCTGCTGGATTCCCACAAATACGATCCTTCATAATCTTTTCAAAGATCTTTCCAAGGATGGAGGTGAGGCTAACTGGCCTATAATTACTCGGATCCTCCTTCCTCCCCTTCTTGAAAATAGGGACCACATTGGCCCTTTTCCAATCCTCTAGGACCTGACCCAAGCACCAAAAGTGCTCAGACAGCCATGCCGGTGGTACTACTATGACACCGACCAATTCTTTCAGTACTCCCGGATGCAGCTCATTAACTTAAACACATCCAGTCCAGCCAAGTGACTCTGCACCAAGTTAGCATCAACAGTTGGTGGGCTGGTGTCCCTCTGATGCCCATCTAAGAACCCATTAGCAGATATCTAAGAACACATTAGGAGCATGAAGTAGATTTGCAGCCCATAGCCACATCCCTGCTCACGAGCCCTTTAGCAGCAGGGCTCAGCAGTGCATTTTAGAGCAGATATTAACCCCGAATGTGTAACTTGTCACTAGCACCAGATAGCCTTAACACAGACTAACATGTAATCTCTAATGTGTAATCTTAGCCCCAGCTCAGAATGTGTCAATGGTCAGGAAGGGAAGGTGAGTTCCAATTCTGGCACGGAAAGAAACAACTTGCTCCAGTGTAATTCCTCTCACTTCTGGTTTTATTCCACAGGGTGATTCTGGGGGTCCTCTGGTGTGCAATGGGGCAGCCTATGGCATTGTCTCCTATGGACCACATGGAACAACCTTCCCTGATGTATTTGCAAAAGTCTCCAGTTTCATCCCCTGGATCAAGAAAGAGCTTAAAAAGATGCATTCTTAGGGACCACCTGGCTCCTCTTTCTCTGCCAGCATCACATGATAGTCATCGCCTTGCACCTCTGAGTTGAACTGAACCAAGTTGGTGTGCAAAATCAAACAGCATCCCAGAACGCTTAAAAAAAAAAAAAAAGTAGTTGATTTAGAAAGGAAACCAAAAAAAAAAACAACTTGGAAATGCAGCATAAGTTTCCATGGAAGTAAAATCATTTTTCTAACTGAAATGGTATTACATGTTGATATGAAAGAAGGGTCAATCAAATTGGTTGCCAACAAACACTTCAAAAATTGAAGTTAAGCAAAATGAAAGAAATGAAAAACCATTTTTGTAAAAAGCTAATTGATTTTGTCAAACATCAATTTCAATTTGATACCAAATGATAGTTCACTCAAACCTGAGAAAAGTTCAAATGTTTAGAAATTAAAGCAAATTTAATTTTGTAATAAAAATGAACTGAAATTTCAACTCAAAATAAATAAAAATGAGATCTACTAGAAGCTGAAACTTTAAGATATTGACATCAAAATGAATGAGCTTGAAAGACCATGAATGAGCTCCGTACCATGCTGAGGTGTTAAAAATAAAGATCTCCTGGGGCGGATGAAAAACCAGAGGGAAGGATGCCAGGATAAGACATGTGCTTGCTTGTGTGCCAAGAAATTAGCCACTAATGTGGTAGAGCCAGATTCCCTCAATTCAAGTCCTTGCTTGCTCTTTTCCCTCTGCAACCTTTCCTTTCCCCCTTCTCCTAATTCACTACGGGGCAGATTCACTCGCTGCTGCTGTCACTGCAATAAATAAAAACAGCATTAAAAAAGTTCATGTGTCAAATTCCTGGGAATGCAATGAATTTCATGAGCCTTGAAGCAGTCTCTGAGTCTCACAGACCCAACGAAGAGTGTTGGATAAAAGGGGGAGATGAAGCTGGGAATTAACCTCTTCAACATGGAAGTGATGTGACCAGGATGAGGAGGTACGAGATGTACAAAGATATACAAGAGTGGCAGAGGTCACCCTAGCTGGCACTGGTATTGGATGGGGAAAAGAGAGTAGATATAGGGTGAACATTTGTAAGGATGGAGACATGGGCCCCACACATGAGCTAATCAGCTACCCCCAAACCAGGCAACCTTGAGGCAGCCCAAGGCTCTGGCCTCTGGTCATATGCTCCATGCAGCATAGCTGGTGGTGGAATAGCCTTGCTCGGTGCACCAGATTACCTACATGGAAGACAAAAGATGAAAGCAGAAAGAAGAAAACAGGCACAGATAGGAAGATGGGCAGGGGGCAGGGACAAGGAACGCCTATCCCAGGTCCATGGGATTTGAAAAGGTGGGAACAAATAGTGTGGTGCATCATCACATACAGCACAGCACATATTTTTCTTCAGTTAAAAAAGAAACTAGAAACTTTACTGATAGGCTAGGGGCCTCAAACTGTATTGTTCAGTTGAAGATCGAAGCAAGAAGAAATATAAGTTTGTTGGAATGCACATTGACTTATTTCATCGTATAGTATGTATAAAACAAGAATAAACAAGGCAAAAATACTTAGGAGATGTTTCATTAGTCCTGTAGTAATTAGAATTAAATGCACATCTGTCTCAGAGGCAAAAAACAGGCCTTCTTGAGCATCTTGGCAATGCATTGGCAGGGCTGCATTCAAAATTATTTCCACATTTGAGTTAATGTTGCTAGCTAGTGTTAAAAGCAGTCTGCAGGGGTATGAAAGAGGGTCTAAATTACCAGGACAGCAGATTTGCAGAACAAAGGATAGCTTAATTAGTGGAACCATTAAAGGAGAGTGAGTCATTAAAATCTGTGGAATGGAGAAATTAGAAAGAAGCCAGTATATAATAATGACCCAGGACCTCAAGTGACCTCACTTCTATCAGATTAGGATTGTCGCTGTCTCTCTCAGGCAATTGGTTGTACACGTTGGGTGGAGCAAGAATCAGTGGGGTGCACATTCAGGTGCTGTTCAGGATTTACTAAGATCAATTAAGGGTGATTCTGCCATCAATACTTTTTTTTTCTTCACTTGACCCAGTGGAGAGGGCAGTTAGCTTCAGGGCCAGAAAATCCAGACTCAAGTTCCTGCTGCAATAAAGAGCTGGGAGTTGAATGGGGATCTTATCCAGTCCAGGTTAGGCCTGCCACCACTTAGCTCTTGCTTGTTCTAGCTCAGATGATGCTCTCTGGCCAGACATTTTACCATGGAACTAAGAAAGTATTTCATTACCACTGATTTATTTTAAAACAGAGAAAAAAGCCCTCATTTTCACCAAAATGGCAACTGTGTCTCTCTGCCCCACTTTTCACTCCCACAAACATGCATGGTTTTAGGGATATCCAAATAAGTGGGCTTAGTAGAGGGGCAACTGGGAGAAATTCTCTGTCCTGTCCTATATGGGAGAACACCATGGTGACCGAATGCCTTAAACTGGGAGTCTGTTCACTCCTCCCTACACTGTGGGGATGAAGGTGTGTGCTGCTCTGAGACCCAGATGGGGTCTGCATTGCTGAGTAGACCCAAGGCTATCAAGTCACTTGTGCAGATAGGGTCAACAGCAAGGAAGTGGCTACAAGTGACTGTTGTCATCTCTCAGGTGCCCTGTTTCTCTCCTGCAGTTTTGCCCTTACTGAGTCACTGCTGAAATCTGTTATGCAAACAGTGCAAGTGTCTAACGGCTGGGCTGTGGTTTGATAAGTACTTGTTTCTCCACTCTGAAAAGAAGAACAGTGATCGATAAAGACAAAGCAACTTCCACTGGTTCAAACTAACTGTTCATGCAGCCCTTCTTCTATCAGTTCCTCAGCCCAATAACTGAGCCCAGCTCCCCTCTCCACTTCCTGCCCTGCCTTTGACCTGGGGCTTTCTTACACCTGTCTGATCAACCCATCCTGTTAAATAATTACTTTACATGACAAAAATTTGCTGGTGGTACGTAAGGTTGTGTCATTTTAAATTGGTGGTATGCAATCTGTCAGAGTTTGGGAACTGCTGGTATAGAAGGTGGGAAAACTTAATTCCGGCCAAGAGATGGCCTTATTATACTGCTTGAATTGAAGGAAATATGAGACTTTGCCTGACTATGGTTTTGTTATAATATTTCTGATTTAAATGTCCTCATATTTTAATAATGAAGTGCGACTTGGTATCCGTGACTAGCTTGTACTCAAAGAAAGATAGGATTACTTGTGGTTGATCCAGACCTGTGTGAGACTGCCAGAATGCTCTATTAGTAGGGGACGGGCCATCATGAGAACAAAGTGCTGATCTGCATATGAAGATCCAGCATAAACCCCCCAAAACTATAATCATAAAGAGTTAAGGCTGGAAGGGACCTCTGGAGGTCATCTAATCCAACCCCCTGCCTGAGGCAGGATCATCCCTGGCCAAACCATCATGTACAAATCCTTGTCTAACTTCTTCTGAACATACACAGTCAATGCTGCCATGTTACAACAAGGCATAATACTCTAGCCTGCTACAGGTGAAGCAGGAGGACAATAGCAGCCAGTGTCCTGCTGCTGCAATAATTGTTAAGATATGCTTGAGAGATCCTAGGCAGAGGGCCATACCCCCCCTGCATGACTACTTCTAGATCATCCCTGATCTCAATACTTATCCAAGCTCTTCTTGAACACCTCCAATGATGGAGCATCCAGAACTTCTCTGGACAGTCTATTCCACTGCTTCACTGTTCTAACAATGAAGGCATTTTTCTTGGTATTGACTCTACACCTACTTTGCTGCAACTTCATGCCATCAGTCTTCTGCTGCAGTACCTAAAGACACTCTTTTTTGTTTCTGGTGTCAAGAAGGGAACTGAAAACAGTGTCCAGAGACAAGGGCAAGGAGGTAAAAGGGGAGAGAGAGAGAGAAATAAGCAGAACAAGAGACACTTAAGGGGTAGCAGAGAACACTGCTATCGGCCTGTTTTTCCTGAGACAGTGCTTGGTCTTCAGGGCCCAAGAACTCTGTCTGCTGTATTGTTGCTGACTACACATTCAAAGTGTCTTTGCTTGCATAAATGCTAGACACCATTGTTTTTAACTTTGAAAAAAAAAAATCAAGGAAAATGTGTGTGTGTGGCAGTAGTGGGGGGCAGGGAGGGGGTGGCATAGTCAACAGAACTGTTTGGCCTTTTATCAAGAAGGGTGTCGCAGGGCACCTCGGTGCCTGCTCCTAGAGAGTGGAAACTGCCAGGGAGAGAGAGAGAGCCCTGGCAGGACATAACAAGCCCAGCTGTGGGTTGTCAGGGATAACGAGCACTGCTGCGGGTTGCCGGGGCAACTAGGGAGAGCCAGCTGCCTGTAGGAGGCAGGGCCTGGCCCTTATAAAGCCCAGGGTTGAGGCTAAGCTGGCAGCTCACTGCCAGCAGCTGGAGAGGCAGGAGCTAGGATGCAAACAGGATCCGCTCTAGCTGGGTGAAGGATGGCTGCTTGGAGAGGTTTGAGCACCATGGTTCTGCCAGGAGGCTTTGTGTTTGAGTTATAGCCAGGAGGCTCGAGTTTATGTTTGGTTTTGATATTACACCGGTGGTTTGGGTGCGGATATAGGGGTTGGAGGAGGTCTCATAGGGACCCACAGGGGGTGGGACCCTAGCGCCAGTGAGGGTGCAGCATTCTCGGGGGGAACCCCAGTGGTATGGGAACCCCGGCGCCAGTGAAGGCGCAGCGCCAGTGAGGGCACAGCTTGCGGGGTGCGTAGACCCCAGCCCTGGAGAGGGGCGGCTTTGAGAAGCCCAGCGCGGGCACGACGAGCCCCAGAGAGGGGGCAATATTATTAGGAAGCCCAGTGCGGGCACGGTGAGCATCTGAAGAAGGGCTAGTGCTGCGATAAACCCCGGAGCAGGGTGGAGTGCTGCGGTTGCCCCCGGCGAGAGGGGGTAGTGGTGCGGTGAGCCCTGGGAGAAGGGGGCAGTGGTGCGGTGGGCCCGAGAGTCAGGGGGTGTTGCCGAAAAGTCCCCAGAGTGGGTGCAGAGAGCCCCAGACGGGGGAGGGGGCGGTATTTTAGAGGCCCGAGTTCGGCGACATTACGGGGAAAGCCCCAGGAGGGGGCACCTTTGTAAAGGCCCCAGACAGGGGGCGATGCTATAGCCCCTGCAGCTCCAGGCTCTCCAACCCCTCCTGACTGAAATGACTCCTGTGGGGTGTGAGCAAAGCCCAAACCCAGCTTGCTAGTCCCCTCCTTAAACAAGAACAGCCTGATCTACCATGTCAAGAAACCCACATCCACAGGTATCTTCCCTGACCCTTTCAGGCTATTGCTGAAGCCACTATCTTGCCTGTTATAACCTCTGATTGCTTCCAAACCATTAATATCACTTAACTGGTCCTGGACTAGTGTAGGAAGAGCCTTTGGGCTTCACTCACTGCCTGGAGCGAGTACTGAGGTTAAAACCAACATAAAAGGATTATGCTCAACTATTGACTTAGCCCAGGGCAAAAGACTGGCTGGGCCACAATGTGCTTCTGCACCCAGGGGTGCCAATCTGTGGTTCAGTAACAGAAGTTTCAGGAGCAGTTTTTGATCTTGGGTATATTGGTGTACCACCCTCTTCTAACTATTAGACCTCACATCCTGCTTAAAGCCAAGGACAGGAACTAGGAGTCCAAAATCCAATCTCCCACCCCACGTTGCTCTATCAAACCAAATCCCAGTCCCCTTATACACCTGGGAAGGTAACCAATCTGTCCGGATATCCCCCTTCCTATTCTAACCCACCAGGCTCCATTCCTCCCATCACCAGGCCCACAGCTTTGCATACCAGGACTGCATATATAAAAGCTTCCCAGGCATGTGGGAAAATCTCTTGCAAGGGGGCCCCTGGCACATTTCACCCTACTCCATCTGTTGGCCTTGGGGGTAATTGTCTTCCTCTACTCAAGCTAATGAGCGGATAGGTGTTATGGATGGTGGTCATTATTCATTGCCACCTCTCCTTCCTCTCTGTGCATGTTATGGGCCTACTCATATGATACCTGGGGTTTGGCCCCCTCCCCACAAGGGAGCTGAAACTAATGCCTGAGCTTTTTATCCATTTTATCCAATGAATAATTTAAAAAGCAAGTTGTCTGATTTGCTTAATAGAGGGAGAGATTAATGGGTACATGTATTGCTTATAATATGGATTTTATAATCCATATTATATCTATATAGAGATATAGAGATATCCAAAATGAACTATAACAATATCAAAAAGGGCATATAAGCAATACATATACTCATTAATCTCTCCCTCCTATAAAGCAAATCGGAGAACTTGCTTTTAAACTATTCATTGGATAAAGTGTGTGTGTGGTTTTCTATGTCTACATCCCATGACGCCTTGTCCCTGTGGAGCTATGTTGTGAGCCTGGGTTTCTATATTTCTTTACTTTGTGAAGTTTTGCATGCATTGATCTCTGTGTTGTGTAGCCGGCTTTCTTTGTACCTTAACAAATTATATGCACATGGATCTGTGTATTGCGTGTATGGTTTTCCGTGGGTTGGGTGGAGGGATCCCTGTGTTATGTGTATTTTCTGGACTGTGTTGTGTGCTTGAGCTTGTATTGATCTCCCATGTGCAGTTGGCCATCTCTCTTGCAGGCATTCTTGCTTTTTCGCAGGCTGGTCTGGGGCAGGATCTGAGACCTAGTCCTGGCCCATCACCTCCCAGCATAATGATCTAGAGAAAGCAGAGCCTGGGGCACTGTCTAGTCTGCCTGCTGCTTTCTCTGGTCTCTGTGCTCTAGGCAACTCCTTATCCAGCCCAGGAATGGGAGCTCCAAATCCTGGATCTAAGCAGTGCCCCCAGTAGGACAATGCCCAATACTAGAGGGTTCAAACTCTACCCTTTAATGCAATGGCCGTTTGCAAACATGTTTCCCTCTGTTCCTGTGCCCCTGGCCTGTTTCAAAAACCACACGCTCCTGGCTGTTGTGCTTTTATCCTAAAGCATTTTATTTCAGCAAGCAGCAATAAAATTGATCTAGCATGAAGGGCTCAGACTGACACAATGAGCTTCCTAAGCAACCACCAGACACGTACAACTCCTCTACTCACCAGCTACCTCAGATTTGCTCACCATGCAGGTCTCTGCCCTATCTTGTTTGTACATAATGGAGTCCAGCAATTGCAAGTAAATGTATTATACAGAGAGGGGGCAATGTAACAGTCACTAGAAGGCAGCAAAAGGGCCAAAGCACTTATAAAATGGGCCATCACCTGTTAGGGACCCCCTTAACACGTTCAGAGGGTACAGGGTGGGTATGTTTTCTGGCATGCATGTACGGAGCAATCAGCAGAAGGCCAAAGCATCCAAGCAGAAGCACAGGTAGCAGCCAGGCCTCTAGCTGGTCTGTGCCATGACTTAGATTTGCACATAGTGGATGGGAACCCCGTTTTTACAGGTGACCCGGATCCGGCGCTTGGAAGACTTGCCCCTGTAGCGGCACTGGGTACTACTGCCTTTCCTTGCCCGGATGCAGTCAGTAACTGGGTAAGCCCGGAGGCTCTCACGGGTATCTTTGCTGATCCGCTTCCCTGAGCGGCAGATGTATTTCATCCTGGCCTCGTTGACGTGAATGAAGGTGTTGGTGGGCCTGCAGGGCAGTCTCCGGCGCTGCCTCATGGTGTTGCAGTATTGACGGTTGTTCTTGGCTTTAGTCTTGGGATAGTCAAGGTGCTTATTCTTGAACTCTTTGTATTTGCCATCTTGAGCTACCACCATTAGCCAAGTAACTGTCAGCAAGAGCAAGAGGAGGAGCATGGGGCAAGGTGCCTTTTGGGTCATGGCAGTGCCTGATACTGGTCTTCCTGCAGTGGGAACAAAGGGGTTCATGGGATAGAACCTGGTTGGGGTGGGGACTCTTTCTACCACTGAGCATCCTTACCCACTACACGTACTCCACAAGATCCCACTGCCACACACCCTGCCCATGCTGTTCCCACGTACTGGCTCCACCCCATGCCCACACTGCAAGCTACTCTCAACAGTCAGTCATTCTCAATGACTCCATTTAACACACCCCTCCAATGTCCAGCTGCCTCCAGTGCCTACAGAACCCATTTACAACAGGCAGCAATAATGCCCTTCATTAGGCAGTCAGCTTCCTTTATTTTTCCTGCTGGAGAGCAGTGAGGAATTAAGCCCAATAACAAGTGGGGAAAATGAGGCACATAATAGGCAAATGATATAAATGCACAAAGATGATCAGCAGTGAAGGGATTTATATCTTTGCAGCGCTTGCACACTGTTGCACTGTCTCAGAACAAGTGAGCATGAACCCAGAAGTCTGGGCTTCTGATCGTAACTCTACTCTCAAGACTTTGCTGCCTAGCAAGGGCTTGGGATAGAAACCAAGTATCCTGGATCTCATAGGAACACGGGACTAGCAGGGAACCCCTGAGTTACTGAGACCAATATCCAGCTATCACAGACAGCCATGGCATTATCACCCCCTTCATCAACTTATGGAGACACAAATGATCCTGCTCAGAAATTGGGCATGACATTGCCTTCCCCTTACCTGAATCCTTGTACTGTGTTTCCTGGTAGAGAAATGGACTCAGCAACCTGCAAAGCTGAGAGACACTAGGTGTCCACCCCTCTGGGACTCATTATATAGATCCCATCCATGCATCGGGGAGGTTGGTCTGCAGTAACTGTGGGAGGCGGTGGGGAGGGAGGGAGCAGGGTGTGAAGAAATTCTGGCACAGTCCTCTGAGTTAATGGAGTGAAACATAAGTGAAGTGTGTTAGCTGGAAAGAGCGGGGAGAGAGAGAGGGTTGCATGTATAAATCTGTTTTCTTGTACCCAGGACAGTACAATATTTCAAATGTCTGCGTATAACTATAGCGTGAGAGAAAAGGGAAAGGTGTTTTAACAAATATTTGTGTGTGCGCATGTGTTTGCATAAGTGTGTGTGTGTGGGGGGGGGGGGGGGAGAAATGGATGTCCTTTTTTAACAATGATGTGGTGTGCCTCTGTTTGGTTACCTCTGGGGAAACGTGTTGTGTTGTATGCAGGCATATATGGGTGTAGATATGAGTCCATCGGGGATTATGGTGTTGACATGCACTTAGTTCTTGGTAAGTGAATGCCTGCTCATGCTTGTATGTATGCACATGTTGCATTATTACGCATCCTGGGTTCTACCACCGATAGTGGAGTGAATATAAGTAGTGCCATACTGGATGAGACTAAAGGTCCCTCTAGCCCAGTACTCCGTCTCAATAGTGGCAGTAGTAAACGATTTGGAGGGAGAGTACATGTACAGAACATGTCTAGTGCACATGTGTACATGTCTAGTGTATCTTGTCACACCCATCCTGACGGCAACCATAATTGGATTAGGAATGCCAGATCCTTGACTGCTGTATTTAATAACTATTCTTGGACTTGTCCTTCAGAATTTTTCTAATCCCTTTTTAGGATGATAGGAAAAGGGTCTCATAAAGTCATGTAGTCCAGCCCCTTGCTCAGGGTAGGTTCATCCCTGATTAAACCATCTCAGCCAAGTGTCTGTCCAACCCATTCTTGAAAACTTCCAAGGATGGAGGTTTCACAACCTCTCTAGTAAGCTTGTTCAAATGCTTGACCACCCTTATAGTCAGAAAGTTCTTCCTAATCTCCAACAAACATTTCCCCTGGTGAAGTTTGAGTCCATTGCCCCTAGTCCTATCCCCTGCAGACATAGAGAAAAGCCCATCTCCATCCTCCATCATCCTTCAGGTATTTGAAGAATGTTATCCAATCCCTCCTCAATTTTCTCTTCTCCAAGCTAAATAATCCTAGTTCTGTCAGCCTATCCTCATAGGTCTTGTCTCCCATAGGTTTGGTTGCCATGCACTGGACTCTTTCCAAACTTCCCACCTCCTTCTTGAAGTGTGAGGCCTAAAACTGGACACCGTATTCAGGTGAGGTCTCGCCAGCACTGAATAGAGTGAGAGAATCACTTCTCTCAGTTTGCAGCTGACATTCCCAATATGTCACTGGCTTTTTTTTTTTTCCCAAGAAGAGCACACCGTTGATTTATATTCATCTTATAGTCCACCATAACTCTTAGGTCCTTCTCTGAAGTACTTCAGCCTAGCCAATCATTCCCCAATCTGCATTTGTGCAGGTTGTTCAATGTTTTAACCTGGTTGTACTACCTGCCTCTACAATGAGTTCCACAAGCTCTGTGCTGTGCAAAAGAAGATTTCCTATTGCTTGTGTTAAACCTGTCCCATGTAATTTCAGTGGGTACTCCCTAGCTCTTGTATTCTGAATAGGTGTGAACTGACCTCACAGTAGATCAGGTCAGACTCACTTCCTGCCTTGTTCTTCTCTACTCCTCATCCCTGCCCCTGACCTGCAGTCACTCTGATACCCAGGTGCCTGGCTTTGCCAGTCTCCCCCACTCAAGCAAGATCAATAAGATTTGACCCTTCTAGAAACCTTGGCTCAGAGCTAGCCCCATCTACCCACATCCCTGTAAAACAGGGGTGGTTCTCACCCCAACCCAAGCAGAGAGCAGTCCAAGTGTCCATCCCACACCATTATTTGCTCAGCGGGTGTCAGTTGGGGATTGAGACAACCGTGACATGGTCCCACTTCCCCTCAGGGCTTTTGTGTTTGGAGGACACACCCTATGTAACAGTTGGGAAAGTTGTGCCCACACAAGGGAAGGTTTCACAATGTCAAGAGGCCCAGGGACCAACTGTGATCATAAGAACATAGGGCTGGAAGGGACCTTAAGAGATCACATAGCTTAACCCCAAGGCAGAATCATTCCTATCTAAATCATCCTCAACAAGTGCTCATTTCACTTCGAGTTAAACCGTTGCTATGAATGGGGCCTCTCCTACTTTTACATGTAATATGTTCTTATGCTTAAGCATCCATCTAGTTAGATCTTCCTTAATCTCTGACCTGTCTCCCCAGACTGTTCAACCCTGATTTTTTTTTTTCCAGTTTGTTCCTGTGCCTAAAACTTGAACACAGCACTTCATGTGACTCCTCACCAGTGCTGAATAAAGAGTTCCCACTCGTGTTGGCTATGCATACCAATGGGGATATGCATATAAGGGGCACAGTTCCTAGCATCTGACCTTGTATACAAAGGAGGGTATGAAGATAAGCACTGCAGAGGGACTGTTACACAGAGCATAAATGCATTTGTAGGGTTACAGAAATATTTGAGGAGACCTAAAATGGTTTAGTGCCAAAAATGGGTGTATCCAAAGGACAAAATTAATGTTGCAGATTAGACTAAGAAGGGAGGAACCTGGTGGTAGGAGATGGATGGGCCTAAAGGCAAAGGAGAGTATGGACCAAAAATGATGGAGTCCATCCTCCTTCCCCTCCCTCCCCACAACCCAGGGGAAGCTTAACGGTAAGTAGAGAGTCTGGCCATATAGTAAGGCAGCGTTCATAGTTAGAAGACACATTTCCTCCCTCCCAATGGGTTTGGGCCAGAGGATGGATTGTACTTATGAGGAATGTCATGGCCTCAGTGTGGAGAAGCTACAAATTACACATAGCCAGTTGATGGCCAAATTTTAGTTGGGAAAAGGGAGAAAAAAATCACCATAAAAATGTTGACTGAACAAACCGTGATACTAAACCTATCCCAAAAGGGCAACTGGAATTACAAGAGCAGTTAAGTGTTAGTTTGCTTACATGGGGAAGCGAGGGCATGCCAAGAATTTGAAGGAAGTTTGTGGGTCTGGCTGATGGCTGCAGGGTACATACCTGGCAAAATAGTGTGTTTGCATATGACCTACCCTACTCCATAATGCTGTGTCAGGATTGATGTGTATCAGGGAACTGGATTATCAAACTCTGGAGGAAGTGAGGCAGAAAAGTGTATCTTGGAAGTCAAGGGCCAGAAAGAAAGAACCCAAATAACTGGGGAGGGTAGCTGACTCCAGTGGCCAGATGGAGGTCCTGGCAGGGCAGGACCCAGTGGACTCTAGAGACTCTAAGTCAAATCCTGAACTTCCAGAATCAGATCTAGAGGAGATCATTGGCCGGATAACCCTATAGACTGAGCCGACCTGAGATGAAGACTTTTGAAACAAGTGGGAAGGAGGACTGGTGAAGATCAATGGAGAGGTACAGTGCCTAGAGCTAGTGGAAATGTACAGCTACACATACCTGTTTGAGGTACACCATGACCTCAAATGCTGGGCCTGGAAAGCGAATGCAGTGCTGACCAGGCAAGCCTACATATGGCAAGAAGCCCAGAACATGCAAGAGAAGAGGGAAAGAGCAGACGGGGCCTTAAATTATCCTCTAACTTCACTGATGATTGGACTCATTGTCCAGGCCCAAGAGCCAGAACCATCTAGAAAGTTTCACTGGAGCAGAGGTTACAATGAATCTTTGGCACCTCTGATCAACCTGTGACCTGTCCTGGACACCTGGGTTCACCCTGAGCCTAACAGCATAGGTGGGTGGGGAGCCAGCTCACTCCTTGCTGTGTGCATCCACGTGCTCTGTAATTAAGGTCTGTAGATCTGCTGGCTTGCACCAAAGTGAAGCAGTCTGTGGGTCTTAGAGGGGCTCCATGACCATGGGGAAACATGAAAATCATGGGGCTATCTCTAGTACTTTTGGCCATAGCATGTCCCTAGATGCTCATGTTCAGCTGATTCTCCCCCACAACCACCATCTCCATACCTGTAACCCTTCCTGGATCCTTTGAGGTCTTCCTTGGGTTGGTAACCATTGGCTTTCTCAGAACAGGAATTCTTACCCTTCTGCCATCCAGCAGAGAGGGAAGGTGAGGAAGAGACAAATAGAAACCATGACTTTTACATTCTGAAAAGGGCAGTTTTGACACAATTCTGTCAAAAACAAAAAAAAATTCTTAAAGATTTTATTTTCATTCAAGTGAAAAGAAAACACAAGTAGGACAATCTCAAAACTTGCCATGACATGAACTTGTCATTCTCCAGCCAGCACCTCTGTGCTCATGTGCCATGAAAAAAACAAACTGGATTCAGTAGCACAGAAACAAGATTCCTGCAGACCTTTCTAACTTTGCTTCGTCACCTGTCATTCACTGCGACATAACAACTTGGGTCTTATCTTACCCAGATAAAAGATTTTCTTTCATGGGTAGATTTGCCTTCAAGATGCAATCTGTACAAAATTATCCATGGACAGAGATACAAGAGCAAGTGTTGTCATAAATTACTTGTACTTTTCTAGTTTTTTTTTCAGACTGGAGGAAATATGTGTGTGCACATGTATTACTTGCTAGGATAAGTGCATCACCAAAAGGAGGGTTTGTACTGGCAGGGAGCTGAGCTGATGAGGGAAGATATTTAAATGAGATACTGTGATTTGGTGGAAAGGGAAATCTCTTGCTTTGTCTGAGAACAAAAAGGTAATAAAAATGAGAGCTGCTTGCGAGTGATAAGGGGTGCCTCCGTCTTTTTGTTCAAGCTTTCATTCTCTCCAGAAGAAATCAGGAGTGATCCCGCCCACCCCCACACAACTTCAAGGTGAAAATCAAGCTGTTATAAAAGCAGAGGCACAGGCATGGAAAGACTAGCAAAGATACATGTGTGCATGGGGTCTAATGGCAGTGTTAGAGTGATGTAGCCCTGCTGGTCCAGGAATGACGTGATAGGCAAAGATTTCTTAGGGTGACATCTTTAATTGGACCAACTGCATAGTTGGGACAGACTTAGAAAAGCATTTGAAAGCAGGACATTCTTCTGCATGTCTGAGGAAGCAAAATCCTCTTCCTAAGCCTGTCCAGGAAACATAATATCTCTTCTTCTTCCTCCACCTGCTTTTTTTTTACCATGCTGTTCTGGCTTTTACTCCTCATACCTGAAGAAGAGTATCCTGCTTCTAGGAGCCACTGCTCAGTTCTAGCCCACCAGGCCAAGTCCCCATCACCTAGGGGACATTATAACCAGCATGTATAGTGCTATCTGCACTCACTCAAGTTATATCTCGCTCTTAACACTCATTAATTCCATTATCCTACCTAGGCAATGGATTTGGTCTCAGATGGTGGTGTTCAAAGCCATGTGGCCACATGTAGTGCTTTGACTCAGCCAGTGACCTGCCTAGGATGCTGGGGTTCACTCAGTGCCACCTGGAAGTGCCAGGTGTGCTGGGACCCAGATCATTCTCTGATGCACGTGAAGGAACCTCGCACTCAGGGTTTATGGCCTTCAGGGTTGGTTAACTGCATGGATCAGTACAAGCCCGTGTGGCTCAGAGGAGCCTGTAGGTCCATGTGGGGGTACAGGAATCTCAAGATTGGGCTTTTCATTGGAAGTAGAAATGCAGGATGAGACCAGCTAGATTGTCAGATGGCAGATGTGGAGTGACTCTCCTTGGGGCTGTAAGAGATTGGAAATACTCCTGATTTCATTCCCTGATTGGTGCTCCCCACAAATCCCTGGAGACAGAAATGCAAGTTATACTGCAAGAAACATCCCCCCCCGCCCCTTCCCCTCCAAATAAATCATGGTGCACACAAATGGGAGTATGTATTGCAGAAAGCTGGAAAAAAATCAGCTCAGCAACCACACTGGTTAATTATTCAGGAGGATACAAGTGCAGTTCTCCAACCCTCACTTGCAGGTGCAGCATAGGGAAGTGAAGGCAGCAGAGGAGGTGGAATTTGGAGACTATGATTAGGCATCAGAAAAGACTGGCTTGATATTCTGCAAGGGAGCAAGAGGGGGCTAGGCCAAGAGCCTTTGGCAATGGGGCCCTTCCCTCCAAGTGAAAACTGGGGGTCTTAGCTGAGCTCAAGCTTCTTTCAGCCCCCATCCACTTGTTGGTGCATTTTATCACTGGAGAGAAGTGTACAGGCTTTCTATCTATGCAGGCAATGCCCTCTGTTCACACCTACTCAGTGGTGAGCCTCTTATGAATATGCATTTGATGATCTACAAGAGATTTCTGCTGTATGAGGCCTCGGTCCTCTTTGCAGATGTTGTCTACTGCTTCTAAAGTTTCATGGATGAAGGTATTGATTTTCTTGCAACCATCCACAGTCATTCCCTGGTCCTTTTAGTTCAGTAGTTGTGATTGTGTAGTGGTGGTGTGTACTACCATCAATGCAATGCCTTTGAAACTTCTGATATGGTGCCTCTCTGCCATAGGGTATAATGGGGAATCAATGAAATATCTATAATTTTGTTGTTTTTTGTCCTATTTAGATGAAGTTTGCAGGGATGGTAGCTTCTACTGAGAGCATAAAATGTAGCAGGGTGACAGCTGCAGGGATGGTGGCCCCTGCTGTGACACCTGCCAGCTGTGGAGGAAATGGGTGCAAGGGGGCGCTGGGGTCCTGCACCCCTAGTGGCTGACAGACAAAACTCGTGACATGGGTGCTTGTGCAACTAACTGTGTCCGTCTTGGGGCAGTTGATTGTCTGTATTGATTCTTTGCTCTCGTTAGCCTGGTTTTGTAGGTGCTAATTGATGCCTGTTAAGTCATTATGCAGTAGCTAGTTCGGGTGTATTGAGCTGGTCCCTGAGTGAATCGTGGTTGATTGATTGGTAACTGGGAACACTGCCGCTTAGCGGCCAGACCTGCAGCAGTCTCTCCCTTCCTGCCCCAAGACAGACACAGTCAGTCCCACAAGCACCCATGGCACGAGTTTTGCTTGTCCACATCTTGAGGGGTAGTTCCCCCCCAAACCCCTGCACTGATCTTCTTGAAACTTGGCAGGCTTCTCTCTGCAGAGTCTACCACCCCTGAAAATTTCATCCAAATTAGACAAAAAACCCCCCAAAGTTATAGCTATTTTATTGTTTCCCCGTTATATCCTATGGCTAGATCTCCGAGGTGGCTCCGAACCACTTTGGGAAGCCGATTGAGGCAGCGCTTCGACCCGGATGTGCTGCTTCAGACCCCGAAGCATCCGAAGCTCTGTCCGAAGCCTCGCACAGCCCTAATGGCTTCCTCTAATCTATTCAATCCACCTGGATGGAAACAGTGAAGGGTAGGGATTATCTACCACCACCTTTCACTTGTCTTTCCTCCTAGCTCTCCCATTATTCTGTCCTACCCTACAATCCCTCAGTGCTCCTTCCGGTCGGGACCCAGGGCAGCCGGCCAGCAGCTCTCCCCGACTCCCACCCGGGCAGTTAAGGGTTCGTCAGGTGGGTACTTGTGATGCATGGAGTGGAATTAATTAGGCGGACGCTTATCGGTTGCAAAGCAAGATTATTTACTCACGCCGTCAAGGTGGTGAAAGACGGAGGTCAGATATACTTAGTTAGTTATAGCTTAGAGTTCGTTCGGTCGTTCTGCAGACGTATGTACGGGCCGTCTTATCGGGCATGCGGGTCAAGGGTACGCCAGGGAGGTCGCGGTGGGAAGACGCTGACAACTGATCAAATTGTCAGATTTACTCCAAGGTGCGGACCGAGTTGTCTTCCCCTTTGGCGGAAATGTAGCAGGGTTTTGTTTGTATGATAGCCAATTGTTTTTCGCCACGTCATAAATTTAATTAGAATCGCCAATTATCTCTAGGGATTTGTAGCAGGGCTATCCCTTTTCACCCTGACCAATCATAAATCATGGGCTAAGTTTCATTTCTTGTTAGTGTCGCAGTTATAAATCTCTTTTTGACATGCGCAGCAAAAAAACTGTTACTATCTTCTTGTTAGTTAACTCTTAGTTAACCTAGTGCAGACTAAAACTGTTTTGAATGGTTTTACTTGTTTGTGACATGGGCACTACTTAATTTGGTTTGTGACCCCTTCCCTTCCCAGCAGCAGGAAGGATCCTTCCCATAGCACATCAGCTTCTTGGACAAGAAACGGCTTTTGTGATGGGTAGGTCAGTACTGAGCACAGCAGTTGGTAATACATTGTCTTGATCCCACCCCGGGTCCTTCCAGCCTTACAGGCCGTTTCCACATGCAATCAGAGCTGGGGGAGTATAAGACTGCCAGAGCAGCAGTCAGAGACAGCTTTTCCCCAGCATGAAGCCTAGCCCTGCTCTCTGACAGTCTCCACTGAGCTTAACCCCAGAAAGCAATAGATTTCCTATTTCTTTCCCAGGCTTTATTAGCACTGATGTGGTGAACTACAGACAACCCAGTATCTGCAGCTACTACAACACATCCCTGTTTGATTTTTTTTTTTTTTTATAGATTATTGCCCTCAGTGACTTTTCTGAGTTTAACCAGAAACTTCTGGATGATGCAGAAACACAATGCTTCTTGTAGGAGTTTTGGTCATGCTAGGCCATAGTTATGCTACAATACAGTTAAGCTAAGGCACTGCAATGAATCTGTGGGGTAGCATGCTTCACTGACTGCTGGATGACCTGATCAAAGCCAAAATGCTGAAATCAGCAGGGAATAAGCCCTACATGTCCAAACTTGGCAGCAGGGAGTAGAATTTGGCAAGGGATGAGCTGCAGGTGTCTGGACTTGGTAAAAAGCCAAGTAAAAATGGGATATATCAATAAAGAATTGTCTCTTGGCTATAAAAACAGAGGTTGCAAGACTAGGCCTGTTGTAGCAACGTAGATGGCATTAGTGCACATAAGGTCTGGGAAGTTTTGCTGAGCTAATCTGATTGCTATGCAGACCCACTAGCTACTGTCCTAAAATAATCACTCTCCCTGAGCTTTCACCACCAAACACAAATTCAAGTCATTCTTTCTGCATCGCATGCAAGCTCCAGGAGGCTGGTTGCCAGCAGCTGCTTCTAAGAGCACCCTGACCCAACCACCCTGAACACCAAGAGCGACTTCGGGCAGAAGGCTGGCTGGAAACCCTCTCAAACCACCACACACTTCAGAACAACACTTGTTATCCATTTTCAGTGTCCCACCTTGAATGTCACTGACAGCATAAACAGACCGTGTCTTGTCTTTATTGTAGGAGTAGCTGTTCTGGTACATAGCTCAACACAGCTGCCCTGCTTCATTGGCGTTTACAGATGTTATCGGTGTCCTGCAGGGTTGGATTCCTACTGCTCCCACTGTTTCAGGACTGGGACAAAGTAGGTCCAGAGTCTGCTCTCGCATAGATAGATAGAAAGCATTTGAGGTCCTGAGTTGCAGTTGCTCCAACCTCTACAGCAGTTGCCTAGTTGCATTCAGAAGAGCAGCAAGTCTACAGCTGGTCTTACAAAATGAAGGAGCTGCTCTGCTCTGGGACCATCTGTATTGGATTAGTGCTGGCATGGGGTGATAAAGACAGTCTCCAGAAAGCAACACAGACTCCAGAATTTGCTTGCAGTTTCAACAGTTGTAGGGCAGTGATTCTCAATCAGGGTCACATCCCATGGCACCCTGGGGTACTTTGCGATTCTTTTAAGAGAGCCGTGGGAGTCCACACAATGTTAGCACTGTTAGGTTTGGAAACAGAAGTCACAAGAGATGAGTCATAAGTCACATGTGTCATAAACTGAGAGATTTCAACCAGAAATCCATGGTTGTGTCGAGTTGTTTGCAACACCAAAACTGCTCTATAATTTTTTTTATGGGTCTAGTCAAAAAGAGTAAAAAGAGCTGAGATTTTCTTTGAGGTGCCATGAGTCTATTCAGGGTGTCTTGAGTCTTCAAAAAGTTGCGAACTACCACTCTAAGGAATGGGGAGAGAGAGAAAGCAACTTGCTTTTGGCTGATCTAGTCTCTCCTGGCACCTCTCCAGAGCTCTTGGCAGCTATCTCCGTACAGTTTACACTGCAAGGTTGGTTTGTTTGCCCACAGACACTTGGCTGAGGAACAAGAGATGGAAGCAGTTAGAAAGAAACAAAAAACTGCTCCCCAGGGAACCACTGTGGAGTGATCATATACCCTGGCCCTTGCCACCCACAATGAAGTATTAGAGGGCAATGTTAGGGGGAAATAATAAAGATGATGCAGCTCCTGCATGGGACCTCACATTAAGGCTGTTTAGGAAGAACTTCTTCACAGTTCGAGCGGCCAAGGTCTGGAACGGGCTCCCAAGGGAGGTGGTGCTCTCCCCTACCCTGGGGGTCTTCAAGAGGAGGTTAGACAAGCATCTAGCTGGGGTCATCTAGACCCGCTGGGTCCATCTAACCCCAGCCCTCTTCCCTGCCTATGCAGGGGGTCGGACTCGATGATCTATTGAGGTCCCTTCCGACCCTAACATCTATGAATCTCTCTCTCTTTTTATCTCTCTATGCCCCAGGTTCAAATCAGTCCTAAACTTTGGAATAGAAAGAGATGTCTACAAATAATCCTTCATAGAAAGGCAGTACTGAAGTTGGGTTGCACAGCTCAAAGAGAGGCCGTTTCCAAAGTCTGAGGTTGGTGCCATTGTACTGATCCACCAGTGTTTCGACTGGTTTCTGTTTTATTCACAATGAGCAAGATAGTAAAGTGTGTAATGACCAGAGAATAAAGGGAATAGAAAGTTATGATTAAGTTTAAATGTGGCTTGTTAAACAGTGGATTAACCAAAATCTTTCTGTTTTACCTGTCATTATGTTTTGCCTAGGCACAGGCCGCAGAGGCACACGCACACAGGCCTGATTGCTTTTGAAATGTTTCTTGTGGTGTCAGTTTGATCTTTCAACATTGTCATGAGGATAAGTGGTTACATTTAAACCTCTAGATTTTTGCAGAAGACAAGCCAAGATAAGAGAAAACAAGAGAAGGCTAGTGGCTGGTGGTAAAGGGCACTGATGGAGCTAGTGTGGAGATGAGGGCTGGAATAGCAGGGGGTTGTGGGCTGTAAGCTACTGGCGTTAGTGCACAGTAGCGTTCTGGCACAGTGCTTAGTGATGCTTACTGCACAGTAGCTCATTACTGTAATGGTCCGTGCCCGGCAACACTACTGCACAGTGGTAATGAGCCACTTAGCAGTAGTAATGAAATGCATAGTAATCATCTCAAGTAGGCATGGCCAGATTCTGTTTTTGACAAACTTTTTAGGCTGTGCTCAGTGCTGCTTTTTGATCCTCATATAAAACATCTTACGGTATATCTGTCATCTATCCCCATATAAACTCTCCAATAAACCTTCCATCTGCCCCCAAACTGCCACCGTCTGTCGACCACCCATCCCATTTATCCATTACCCCAACGCCTGCTCTCTCTCTCGTAGCCCCAATGAAAGTATCCCTCATTCCATGCCCATAGCACTTAAGGTTCATACCATCCTCTCTCTGCTTATAGAAGAACAGCCTGGATAACTAGCAGAGGTTCTTGATTGGATAACAACGGAGAGGTTTGCAAAGGTACGGAGCAAAAGCCCAGCTGCTCCTGGTCTTCCACCAGATCTCCATCGCCCACCCTCAGCTCCATCTTCCTTCCCCTGAATTTGTCCCCATCCATCTCTCTTTCTACTGTTTAATTCCTTCATTCGTTGCTGTTCTCTCTTCTTTCTCTCTCTTCCACCACCCACATTTCCAATTTACAGAAATGATGATAGCCCCTTGGATGGCCAAGCGTATCCCATCTGCAGCATCATTTCGGTGGCTGCAGTGCTGGAAATCCTTGCTTGCTATTTAGCCTATCCCAGGGAAGAAGCCAACAGAACCTACTGTGGCCCCTTCCCAAATTTTCTTTGATGCATCTCCAGTCCCCCCTGTGCCCAGGGCAGATCCATGGCCTAGACAACATTATCTTTAAAAAAACACATTATTTAACTGAGCTTGCAAGAGAATTGTTCTTTAGAGTGAAGAATATCTGTAGCTTCTCTTAGCTCTTTTGTAAGTGGAGAGTTTTTTGTGGTGAAATACAGCAGTAGTTTAAGATGGGTTTGCATATGTGTAAGAGAGTTATAAATTGCAAACACAGACTGGGAGGGTGAGTTATGCTGGTTCATCAGAGCTTCTGAGGAGAAGGAGCTGCAGGAAAAGTGACCCATGATTCCCAGTCACCTGAGGACAGACTGCAGGATTTCTTGGTCCCTTAGGGACATCAAGTGTGATTGTACTTATCCAGATCCTGCATTTGCTTTAGCAATAATTTATCTACATTAAGAGATAATGTTATGAGATATAAGAGACATATTAAGAGATGTCATAGGCATATTAAGAGATAATGCCTATAGTTTTGTCTCTTTGTAAGCCAAAAAGGGGCACACCCAAACCTTGACATTGAGAATAACTAATTCCTTGAAACTGGGTTTGCTCTGACCTTGACAATGACCCTCCCATCCCACCATGTCCTGGTGCATTTATCCCCAGCCAGCCTGAACAATCGAGAGGCCCCTGAAACTTCAGGTATTCTGGGCTCTCTCATTCAGAGCTCAACTGAGTAGGGCAGACCTAGGCCTGGAAAGGCAATGCACAGCTGACTTGGCAGGTCCTGTAGCTACACGTGACAAACTCAGGGCATCTAAGAGAAGACAGAAGGAGCAAGGTGGGAGTTAAATTATCCTCTCGCTTCACCGATGATGCATTTCATTGTTCAGGCCCAAGAACCAGAACCATCTTGAAAGTC